GAAATTGCTTGCTTTGGAGAAGGCGATTAGAACGCATACCTGGCCTGCCGACATGTAGTACGTCTTTGCGGCACTGTTAATAACTTGATCAATGCATTGCATTGAGAAATTATAAGTCATAAATTCACAGATGGGGCGAAGTCCAGCGAATGCAGCCCCAACTGCCATACCACAAAAGCCTGCTTCCGTGATCGGAGTGTCAACGACGCGAAAGTCCCCATACTTGCGCATCAGCCCTTTCGAAACCTGAAAATTGGCTTGCGACAAGGAATGTTGCAAGACAAAAAAAGCTCCGACACATGAAACAATCTAAGATTTTTTAGTCTGAGATGCTGAGATTCTTTCCACTTGATTTTTATCCAGTCTTTTGGCTCTCTTAGAGTCCACTGGATATGCTACACTTTCTACCTCGCTGGAAGTCACAGCTAACAAAGCAGTAAAAAATCAGAATAATCCATGGTTTGTGTTGACAGTGGGATACTCCAAATGCCTGTTTTTGCAGATGAATTGTACACGTCGCAAGATGTTTGTGAGCGAGGCAAGATGTTCAGGGAGGACCATATCGAAGGAAACCGAACTCCAAATCGACGAAGGTACAAACACATACCTTAGGGATGCCAAATGCCCCCTATTCGCCATCAAATTTGAGAACCAGCCTATTGAGCTCATGGATAGCTATCCTACTGTCTTACTTGTGGCAAAAATATAAATGAATAGCGAGATGTGGCTGAGAAAAAATAGATAACAGCGCGCATCAAGATGGCCGGTGGGATCATGCGTTTTGCGCAGTTCTGTCCAAAGGACGTTTGCAGTCGAGAATTATCAAGGCTTTACACTTTGGTGTTTGCAGAAATAGTCGATATGTTGTATCGCTTCTAAACTGCGAAATTACCCATTGAAAATTTCACGAGCCCTCAACTGGAATATAGGCAAACATGAAGGTTGAATTTAAGTCCACATAAACAGAAAATATCTACCAGAAAATTTAGCTCATTTTGTTTTTAAACCAAAAATTTCCACGTGGAATTTTGCTTGTCATTTTTACGAATTAAGTGGAAATAAGCGTTGAATTTGAAATCTCAGGGCTGATATTAGCAGAAACACCACCCAATATTTATAATATCACATAA